TTAATTAAAGGTATAAATTTATCATTTTAAATTAGTTTTAATAAATTTTTTATATATTTTTATTAATTTTAGTTAATATTTTATTTTTTAAAGATAATAAACAATAAAAAAACCTTTGATTACAGCAGAATACAATGTGGTACTCATAAACGAAGTCATAGATCGAGTTGAAGTCTAAATTTTAGGTGCACCTTTTTTTTTTTTAACATGAAAAATTATTGTAGAATGAAGAATGGTTAAGTTGTTGATAAAAGTTAAAGTCCTAATCAACTTAACCTCAATACTTAAAATTTAAAGACAATCATTAATTGGAAACTCCAATTTCAAAATTTACATTTTTCCCATCAACATTTTATTAAATATAAGGGAATTTTTAAACTCTAATATGTGGTTTAACTGGTGACATCGGAATTCGATTCCCTTGTCCACATTCCCTCCTCCTAACTCCCAATTCCCCTAGTAAAAAAAAAAACCATAGGGGAATTTTTGAGAGAATGGTAAAATTTTAATAACTGTCGTGACAACTCGAACCTTAACCAAAACCAGATTTTAGGGACTTTTTTTCCACCTCACTGGAGGCTGCAAGTGCATTCCGCTTGTCAACTTAATCTTTGAGCAAGACAAGATGATGGTACCAAGCCATTGCGTGGCTCTTTTGTCTCATTCTTCTCCCCTTTCATTTGGCAGCTCAGCCCAATTCTTTAGACATAATACATTTAAAGAAATTATTTTTTTTGTTAAACAATCATTAAAATTAAATCCCTTTAAATATTATGATGAAGACTTAAATCTAATATAATAATGCTTGCTTATTAATTGTTTAAGGGAAATGGATGAGAAGAGAAGGGATTTCCTTTCATTTTCCTTGCCACCTTGTTTAGTTAAACGAAGATACAAAGGACATTAAAGTAAAATAAGGAAAATAAATTTAAGTTAAAATCCACTTACATATAAATTTTACACATTATAATTATAAAAAATCTTAACCACTTATTTTTTTACTTTTAATAATTGAAATTTATTCAGTTTTTATTATATTTATTGAAGATAATTATCTTTTTCATCTAAAAAATCACGACAAATCTTAATTATTGAAAGTAGAAAAATAAATGTTAAAATTTTGTATAAATATAGTTTGTAAAACATATATGTAAACAAATTGCTCCTCAAAAAATCTTTCTCACCCTCCAATTTTTCATTATCTAAATATGGAAAAATTTCCCTCTCCCTTCAAACCAATAACAAGACATTAATTACATATGAATTTCACTTCTTGAGGTTGGGGGATAACTTTTTTTTTGATAATATGGTATTTTAGATTAGATTATATATATATATATATATATTGTCTAGATCTCTAGCCCAACCATCACATAAGTGCCTATAAAACCATCTTATTCACACAAGCATGATCGTTTGGATATTTATAATGACATGTTTACCACTAGCTGCTTCATTTCAACAGAAATGAGATTACTACTACACTGGATTATGACACCTTTACCACTAGCTACTTCCTCAAATGATTCTAGTTTTTGATGGAAAACAAAAGGTTCCCCAGCATATATGCATCCATACTTGGGAACATATGCTTTTTGGCAATTGATGCTGACATTGGATTCACACCTGCCTTCCAATTGTTTATGTAGTTGCTGCAAGCTTGCAAGCATTTTGTTTTATTTTATACTTGTAGAAAAAATCAAACCCCTAATTGGATCATAGATGCCAGTACCTTGATCTCCTCTTCCTTGACACCGAAATTGTATGCTTCTTCTAGGATGGGTCCCCCCCTTACCTAACAAGCTTGGGTAACACCATGATGAACAGTTGATTTGGCTGCATGTGTTGGTAGATGCAAGTTCACTTCACATTAAGAAAAAGTTCGGATTATGATAGAAGATCAATGTATGTAGCTGGCAAATTCTTGACACATTTCAATTTTCCTTAAAAGATCTTAAGGTATTGTGAACTCAATAAATACCATGTGCTTATGTATCTATTTGGTTGTACTACAAATTGGTCTTAAGCTATAGAGAAAAAATGTAGAGAGAGTTGTTTTGCAGTTTCGATTGAGGGGGATCACCCCTATCCCATAAGACTTGTCTTTCAAATAAATGTAGTTTCAAAAATAACTATATCTACTCAACAAATTGTTGGCATCACATAAAAATTTGAATTTCAATTTTTAAAATACTAATTTTACTTAGTTCAATGGTTAAAAACAATTAATAATTAATAATTATAAATGTTAATTGATAAATAATAAAATATAATATTTATTTACATAATAGATTAAAATCAATTTACATACTAATATTTTCAAATACTATAACCATCTAACTAAAATAAAAGAAAAATTATATAGTTCAAATAATTTCACATCTTATCTTAACTACTTCTTTAATTTTCACTCACATCATTTAAAAAAAGATGTATTAATTTAAGAGCTTACTATTTTAAAATTCAAATTATATCAAATTATAAATAGAAACTCTTAAATAAAAAAAAATTAATATTAAAAGACTAACCCTCATTTAAAAGGTTCATATTTTTTTTAATATAACTCAAGGAGAAAAATAGTTCTTCCTTAACTTAAATTATAGAAAAGAATCATCAATGACCTAAATAATTAAGTGGTAATATTATTTCGTTGGAAATAGGAGATCTTGAATTTAAATCGTATGACATATAGATAGAATGAAATAAGAGATGAGAGAGGGTTGCATCCCATTATGCAATCCATATAAAAAAAAAAAAACTAAAGGTAAGAACCAACGTAGTGCTTGCGGGTAAAAACCTAGTTTTAGTCCTTTATTTTACTAAGTTTAAAGGTTTTAACTCCTTATCTTATTCTATGAGACTTCTAACCCCTTATGTTATTAGATTTGTAGTTTTTAGCTCATTATTTATTAAAATCAAAAAAGATAGCCCTTACTTTATACTGACTATTAATTCTGTCAATTGAAAGTAGATTTTTGTCAACTAACAGTTAACTAATAGTTCATTAACGAAATATTATAAAATTAGTTCTGTTAATTCTATTAATTGAAAAAAGGTTTTTATCAGTTAACAGTCAACTAATAGTAAGATAATAGAATTAATAGTGAGTTAATATAACTAACAAAATGTTACAAAATGAGGGTTATTTTCTTGGCCAAAACCCCTATTTGCACCCTCCATTTATTTCTTTTTCACGGTCAACACCTTCCAGAATTTTTTCTCCATATTCACACCTTCCATTTTTCAAAATCCGTGAAAAACCCAATATTTTAATGGACCGTCACGGCACCGTTAAAAAATGCACTACGTGGCACCCAGAAATTGACGTGGCACATGCGGCATATCTTTATTCGTTAGTTTCAGACGTGGATATGTTTTTTTATGACGTGGCTTCTTTTTTGTACACGTGGACACCACTGTGTAGTGGGACCCACTGCACGATTTTCGCTTGTCCCCCACTCCCCACCAAAAAAAAAAAAAAAAATTTTTATGACGTGGCTTCTTTTTTGTACACGTGGACACCACGTGTGTAGTGGGACCCACTGCACGGTTTTCGCTTGTCCCCCACTCCCCACCAAAAAAAAAAAAAAAAAATTTTTCTGGAACCCAGAGCTGGGTTCCCTATGAGGAACCCGATCTGGATTCCTCGTCCCCAGATCGGGTTCGAGGAACCCAGAGAGGGTTCCTCATGGGTTCCTCTTGAGGAACCCAGCTCGAACCCTCTAGGTTCCTGGTGAGGAACCCGATTTGGGTTCCTTGCCGAACCCAGATCGGGCAGTCAGGGTTCCTGACTCTGGGTTCCTCGTCGTGAGGAACCCAGAGCTCCTGTTCTAAATTTTTTTATTTTTT